CTCCAATATTGATTGGCAAATGCTGTAAAAGTGTTGGTGTTTCTCAGTGAAAGCACTGCCCGATGATCAGAATAAAAACGTAAATTGTAACATGTGAAGCAGCCTGCTATTATCCACTAGTGGTGAAAAAGAAACTTCAGAACGCTATTTGTTCGATTGAGTTCGGGGGTCCTGCACTCATCCAATACGTATTTTATCCTTTCGGAAGATGCTAAAGTGTACAAGTGTCGAGGTGTCAAAAAATGTTTTGGTATTTTTCAACTAAACTAAGAAGTGGTGATGTGTGAAGTTAAAATTGTATTGAGGGGATAACAAATTTGGGACAGTAAATCTCAGCTGTGGTCGAAGGCATTGATGAAGCTGGAAAGCATGAGAACAAACGACACATTCAATCTGGATGACTCACGTAAACTATCGAAAAGGATTGAAAAATATAAAGTTCCACGAGATTTTATTAATTATAAAAAACAAACAACTCCTAAAAGGAGTTTAAATAGTGGCAACACCTAGAAAAAACTAGCAATGATACAAGGATGAAAATGCCATTTGATAAATAAATGGTAGGAAGACGAATATGTTGACCTCAAAAAGTGAAGTCAACAAGTCCGTTAAGCCATATCCTTGCTTGGTTACCTTCTTTCACGCTTTTCAACTATCAGAGTTCCGAGGAGCTATTGACAGTGGTAGCCGCAATCAAGGATTAAAGTTGTGAGGAACCAGAATTTGGTTAGGGTTTATGGTTGTGCTTGCTTTCCTTGTAAACCCAATAATTGTTTATAAATTTTCAGAGGTTTAAGGCTTCTTGGTTTTTTTTTTGCATTATTTGGACACGCGTCGCATTATTATTGGTGAGTCTATAGCAAAACCCAATACGGATAGTTCCGTCACGCGTATCATTCTTCCATTGAGATGGTTTTCACAAGATTTCTTAAATCATCTTTTCCCATATTCTTTTATAACTGCTTTTGCCACGTGATGATTATTAAGATGTTTGTATGCTTTGTTTTGAAGAAACGCACATTTTACCATTAGGGTCCGTTTGATAGAAAGGGTGGAAAATGAGTGGAAAAAAAATGAATTACAGGAAAAGTAATTGATTAGAAATTGTTTTGTAGGGAATTGTTAATTATGTGTGTTTGATTGGTATAATTTTCCACCCGAAAATTTTTTTAAATTTTATGTTCGTTTGGCCTTTGTTTACATCAAAATTATCCATTAAAGTGATAATTTTTTTCACATTTGATTATAAAATTTGTTTCCATTGTCAAAAAGTAAAAAAAGAAAAAAAA